AGTCATCTTTATATGTCCCTTTCATTTTTCTAGAAAGGTTTATGTTAAAAATATGGATATTGGGGGAATTTATCAGCAAAAAAAACCATTCAGATTCCTATTTATAGTTTCTTTCTACCAGTATTTCTGATGGTGTGCCTACTTTTCTAGAAAATAGATGTGGAATATTACACATGGCTAAGTGAAAAATAACAGGTAATCACCATAAATTCAGGTTCAAATAGTATTACATCAGGTCCTTGCTTTTAATGAGCATACATTTAAGTTGTAAATGATTAAGCGTATATCTCTTCCTCTGTATCTTTGGATTTTTTTCCAAAATAAGTTATTCTTTTGGTCACTCTTTATTCACATAAAGAAGGTTGAATACGTTATTCTTGGCTTTATTATTAAGATTAATGTTTGAAAGAAAATATTACCCCCTGCTGTATGCACCCATGATTGAGGGGTCTGAGCCCAAGCTTGCCCAGTCCAGCTCCATTTGGCTTTGGCCCCCAACCAATAATGAGTAGCAAGATTGAATCAGCAATAAAAAGTCTCTCAACCAAGGAAAGGCCTGGACCAGATGAATTCACAGCCAGATTGTATCAAATGTACAAAAAAGAGCTAATACCAATCTTCCTGAAACTGTTTCCAAAAATTCAGGAGGGAGTTTTCTCTAAGTCATTCTACAAGGCCAGTGACACCTGATACCAAAACCAGACAAGGACACAACAACAACAAACCACAGACCAGTAGTTCTGATGAAGATAGATGCAAATATCCTCAACAAAATACTAACAAACTAAATGCAACAGCACATCAAAAAAATATCATGATTAAGCAGATTTTGTACCAGGGATGAAAGGATGATTTAATACATGCACAGCAATAAATGTGATAAATCACATAAACAGAGCCAAGGACAAAAAACATATGATTATCTCAATTGGTGCAGAAAAGCATTTGATAAAATTCAACAGACTTTCATAATAAAAACCCTCAACAAACTAGGAATATAAGAAATGTACCTCAAAATAATAAAGTCTGTTTATGACAAACCTACAGCTAACATCATACTGAATGAGGAAGAGTTGAAAGCATTTTCTCTAAGAACTGAAACAAGACAGGGATGCTCACTCTCAACATTCCCATTCAATATAGTAGTGGAAAATCTATATAGACACATCAGGCAAGAGAGGGAAATAAAAGCCATCCAAATTGGAAAAGAGAAAGTGAAATTATCCCTGTTTGTTTATGATATAATCTTATTTCTAGAAAAACCTAAAGAATTCACCAAAACCTCTTAGATTTAATGAATGAATTCACTAAAGCTGCAGGATATAAAACCAACATAAAAAATCAGTAGCATTTCTATACAGCAATAACTATCTAGCTGAGAAACAAATCAGGAAGGCAGTCTTGTTTGCAATAATTATCAACAAAATTTAGGCACACATTTATTAGCCAATGAGGTGAAAGCTATCTCTAAGGAAAAGAACAAAAGACTGATGAAAAAATATTGTGCATGACACAGAAAATGGAAAAACATCTCATGCTCATGGATGGAAAGAATTAATATTGTTTTAATGACCATACTGCCCAAAGCAATCTATAGATTCAATGTAATTGCTATAAAAATACCAGCATCATTTTTCCACAGAGTTACAAAAAACTATCATAAAATTAATATGGAACCAGAAAAAAGCCCAAACAGCCAAAGCAATCCCAAGCAAAATGAACAAACCTGGAGGCATCTCATTACCTGACTTGAAATTGTATTACAAGGCTATAGTAACCAGAGCAGCATGGTACTGCTATAGAACTAGACACATAGATCAAGGGAATGTAATAGGAAACACACAAATAAGGTCACAAATTTACAGATAACTAATCGTTGACAAAGCTGACAACAACATAAGTGGGAAAAAGGACACCCTTTTCAATAAATGGTGCTGGGACAATTGAATTTCGCCATTTGCAGAAGAATTAAACCAGACTCCTATCTCCCACAATGTGCATAAACTCAAGATGGATTAAAGACTTAAACATAAGACCTAAAACTGTAAAAATGCTTGAATAAAATATAGGGAAAACTTTTGGACATTGGTCTAGGCAAATAATTTATGACTAAGACCTCAAAAATAGGAATCAAAACCAAAAATAGACAAATGGGATTTAATTAAAAACTTCTGTACAGCAAAATATAAATAAATAAACAGTGTGAAGAGACAGTTAGTAGAATGGGAGAAAATATATTGAAACTATTCATTTGACAGGGGATGGAAATCCAAAATATATAAGGAACTGAACTCAACAGCCAAAAACTCCTGAAACGATCCCATTAAAAAGTGGACAAGAAGTAAGGCAGTATTACATCATGGTTTTGATTTGCATTTCCCTGATTATCCGTTATGTTGGCATTTTTTCATATGTTTATTGGCCATTTCTGTATCTTCTTTTGAGAATTGTCTGTTTATGTCCTTAGCCCACTTTTCGATGGACTGTTTTACTCCCACCGATCATGACTGGTGCATGCACTCATGACTAGGGGGCCTGAGCAGAAGCCTGCCAAGTCTAGCTCCATCTGGCTTTGGTCTCCAACCAAAAATGAGTAGCAAGATTGAATCAGCAATAAAAACAGCCAGTGAACAGCAAAAAAACCGTGAAACTCAACAGCCAAAAACCCCTGAAACAATCCCATTAAAATGTAGGCAAGGAGTAAGGTGGTACTGCACTGTGGTTTTGATTTGCATTTCCCTGATTATTAGTGATATTGAACGTTTTTTCATATGTTTGTTGGCCATTTGTGTGTCTTCTTTTGAGAATTGTCTGTTTTTGTCCTTAGCCCACTTTTTGATGGAATTGTTTTTTTTTTTTCTTGCTAATTTGTCTGAGTTCCTTGTAAATTTGGGATATTAGAGATTTTGGAATACTATTCAGCCATTAAAAGGAGTGAATTAATCGCATTTGCAGCAACTTAGATGGGACTGGAGACTATTATTCTAAGTAAAGTAACTCAGGAACGGAAAATGAAACATTGAATGCTCTCTCTTATAGATAGATACTAAGCTATGAGGATACAAAGGGATAGGAATAATACAACAAACTTTGGAGACTCAAGGGAAAGGGAAAGAGGGGTGTGAGGGGTAAAAGACTACAAATTGGGTTCAGTGTGTAGTGCTCAAGTGACGGGTACACCAAAATCTCACAAATCACCAGTGAAGAACTTATCATGTAACCAAATACCACCTGTTCCCCCAAAACCTATGGAAATACAAAATTTTTAAAAAAGAAAAAGAGTGGGCAAGGATATGAACAGACATTTTTCAAAAGACCAAATGTATATAAAATGGCCGAATGTATATAAAATGCTCAACATCACTAATCATCAGAGAAATGAAAATTAGAAAACCGTGAGACATCATCATCTCCCAGTCAGAATGGCTCATGTTAAAGGGACAAAAAGTACCAGATGTTGATGAAGATGTGGAGAAAAGAGAACTCTTATATACTGTTGGTGGGAATGTAAATTATTAGCCTCTATGGAAAACAATATGAAAAATTTCCAAAGAACTATAAATAGAATGACCATTTTATCAGGCAATCCCACTACTGGGTATCCACCCAAAGAAAAATAAATCAATATGTCAAAAATTACCTGCATTCACATGTTTATCACAACAGCAAAGGCACGAAATAACCTAAGTGTCCACCAATGGATGAATGAATAGAGAAAATGTATTATATGTATAACAAAATACCATTCAGCCATAAAAAGGAATAAAATAATGTTTTTTGTTTGTTTTTGAGGTGGAGTTTCGCTCTTGTTGCCTAGGCTGGAATGCAGTGGCATGATCTCAGCTCACTGCAACCTCCACATCCCGGGTTCAAGTGTTTCTCTTGTCTCAGCATCCCAGGGAAGCTGGGATTACAGGCATGCACACCATACCCAGCTAACGTTGTATTTTTAGTAGAGACCGGTTTTCTTCATGTTGGTCAGGCTGGTCTCAAACTCCCAACCTCAGGTGATCCACTTGCCTCAGCCTCCCAAAGTGCTAAGGTTACAGGGAGAATAAAATCATGTCTTTTACAGCTATATGGATGGAAATTAAAGTCACTATCTTAAGTGAAATAAGCCAGGCACAGAAAATCAAATATCACATGTTCTTACTCATAAAGGTGCTAAAAGAGAGTCCACATGGAGGTAGAGAGTGGAATTATTGACAGTTGATACTTGGAAGGGGGAGGGAGTAAGAGAGGAGTGGTGAGAAATTAGTTGATGCATATAAGAAATGTTATTTGGGTTATGGATACCCTAAAAGCTCTGACTTGACCACTATACAGTTTATGCATGTAAAAAGTTTTATATATATGCCATAAATTTGTACAAATAAAATAAAGAGACACTAAAGCCAACTAGATAATACATTTAGCTAGGAACTCAGAGACAATTCTGTTGGCAAGGACTGTCTGGAAATGGCCACAACTGATGTGTGTTTCCTTATGCACAGCAATTAGTGTATCTATTTATTTTTCCTGTCAGTTGACTATACTATTAAAGTTATCATTTTCCTTTGCTGCTTCCACATATTTGAAGGGGCTTCATGGCTAGTGACTGCCCCTGAATATCAGTAAAAAATTGTGTGGCGAGCAGAGAACGGCTCAGAAAGCTTCACACCAGACTCTGTGAACTTCTATGTCTTTTTCTGTAAAATAGGATTGGAAATACAGCTTTTTCCTTATAGAGTTTTAATTGAGAAAAGATGAGGGGAAGCATTCAGTATGTTGTACATGCTCAATTAATATTTGTTGGCATGGATTATTTTTCCAGAAGCCTTTTCATAACCAGTTATTTGACATTCTTGGGTGAAAGTTAAATTTAAATAAGTTGTTTCTTTTATGAATAAATGCTCATAAAAATGAAGTGAATTCATATAAGTAAAATTGTTATTATCTCATTGATTTCTCATGATATGTTTTTCTTAGACATATAAATATCCACATTTTTCTTTTTCTAGACAACAAGCTGGTGAGCAGCCTCAGCCCGCCTCTTTTGTTCCACCAGAGATGCTCATGTCACCAGGTTACACAGGACAATTTTTTCAGCCAGCATCCAACTCGGATTATTATTCACAATCTTCTTACATTGACAGTTTTGATGAAGAGCCTCCTCTGCTAGAAGATAAGTTAAGGAAGTGTTATTAATGTGTGTACAGCTAAAAGAATAATAGCAATAATTAACACCTAATGTGTGCTGGCAGCCTGCTGTGTACAGTGTTTCATGTGTGATTATTTCACATATAATAAGAGTTTGCTGAACCAAAACACTTAAACCACTGGAAGTTTGTTGCATGTTTGTGTAGGGGAAATCGGATGCAGATATGGGCTATTCTGTGATATTGCTGCACTTAGTAAATGCTCCTTCACTTTTTCTTAAATTAGAATTCCTTGGCCAAGAATAGAAAATAATGAAGACATCTTTTTGCAGAGTAGCTACATCAAAGTGACCATCCTTCCCACCCCAGTTAATGAAGCACTTCATAACAGCGCATTTTATTTTCTGCTATGTTTTCCTGGGAGCAAAGTGGATGGTTTCTCTAATTAATATTTTGTTGTCATTGTTGACATGGAGACAAGCCAGTATTTTTTTCTTTCCTGACTCTTACAAGACCTTTCATCTCAGCTTGGCATGGGTAGGTGAGGAAGAATATAAATCCAGTAAAGAACACTGCTAGACAGAAGGAAATCCAGACTCTTAGAGCTGAAAAGTCCTTAGGGGATTTTGGAGTTATTCCATCCATTTATTTATTTTTTCATATATAGCCAGTCCATATGTGCTGTTTTGCCCTTAAAGAATGTTAATACAATGCTAGAAACATAAGTGTTAAAAAACTAAAACCCAGGTGGATATAAATTTGAGAACCAGGCAGAAATTGTCACTTGTTAACTGCTCCAAGTCTTTTGCATGGAGTCAAGTAAAAGGAATAGATTAAAACTTCCAGTATTTTACATCACAAGATGTTAAGGTGTTTGCCTCACATGAACACAGCCTTAAAAAATGGGAAAACGTGAAAGATTTAAACCATTCAGAGCAGCACAGAGATTTATACAATCGATCTATTGGCTCTTTAGAATCCAGTCAAGTTTCTGGATCAGTTATCTCTAACTAGTTTATTCCATTTTGCCTCTATAAGTAATAAACACCTAGAAGTTATAAATTACTCTCGATAAACATTTTCCCTGACTTCACCAACATCTCTCCTGATTGTCTTCAGAATTTGCAAAGCACAGAAACATAAGAATAAAAATATAAAAATTACTTCAAATGTTGTCTCAAAGACATATCTATAAGAATTTAATGTATCTTCTTCTAGCCTTTATTCTATTTTCCTATGAATATCTGTATATATGTATTATGTATGAATATACATGCATATTTTATAGTAAAATACTATTTTTTCAATGAATATATATGCATTTGAGTACTTAAAGTATTGTATTCTTTTTATTTACTTTATGTCACAAGCATTTTTTTTTTTTTTTTTTTTTTTGGGATGGAGTCTCACTCTGTTGCCCAGGCTGGAATACAGTGGCACAATTTTGGCTCACTGCAAACTCTACCTCCTGGGTTCAAGCAATCCTCCTCCCTCAGCCTTATGAGTAGCTGAGACTATAGGTGCACACCACCGCACCCAGCTAATTTTTGTGTTTTTAGTAGAGACAGGGTTTTGCCATGTTGGCCAAGCTAGTCTCAAACTCCTGACCTCAGGTGATCCACTATTTTGGTCTCCCAAAGTGCTCGGATTACAGGCATGAGCCACTGTGCCAAGCCTGTCATGAGCACTTCTATGCATGCATTCTTTAAAATAATGACATATTATTTGAAAACAATTTATAACCATTTTATATAATTTTATTATATAACATAACCATAATCTAAAAATACCTTAATGGTTATTCCTTGTAACAAGTAATACTTTATTGACTGTCATCATGAACCATCTTTGACCTTTATAGAGTCTGTCCTCAGGATGTACCCGTAACAGTGAGATTGCAGGGTTAAAGGTACCGACATTGTCAACTGATCTTGAAAATGGTCTTCTACTCCAGTCTCAGAACAGAATATGACATGTCTTTGTCAATTTCATAGAAAAAAAGGAAAAAGGAATACTTTGTACCTTTAAGTTACTAAAAAAGTTTGACACTTCTCACGTTGATTGACTTTTTATTTTTCATGTTTCTTTTTTGTTGTTGTTGCTGTTCAGATTTCTATTGAATCTAAAGAGTTTTCTTTCCTAGTTTTTTAGGGATTTTATATAGTAACAATATTAATTATTGTATAGAATATGTATTTCAAACATTTCTTTCCTAGCTTGTGTTTGCCATTTAATTTGTTTATGGGTCTTTGGGGCATATTAAAAATGTGATATTAATTTTTAAACTCAGAATATGTTTTCTAGTAACATTTCTTTCCAATTGTTCTTTGTTCAGAATATACTTCACTAGTTCTAGATACTGTTTCTATCTCCTTATATATGCTCACATTTTAAAATTATCCTTTTGCATTTTTTGTTTTATATTGAATTTTTCATTCAAGAGTTGTTTAAGCTTATTATGTGAAGAAAGAATTTAACTTTTTCTTTCTGTACTGCTTAACAAATTTTTTCCTGCAACATGTATTGAAAATAATCTCTTCTATTATCTGAAATGTCTCTCTTGTTGCATTAATATACCATACTCTATATATCCTCCTTTAATATGTCTTTCAATTTGAATAGAAAATATAAAACAGATTTTTTTTTCATTTTATGCAGCTCAGAGTGAATTTCCCCAAAATATATAGCGTATTAGAACAGCAGTCCCCAATCTCTTTGGCACCAGGGAACAGTTTTATGTAAGACAATTTTTCCATGGACAGTTGGGGGAGATGGTTTTGAGATGAAACTGTTTCACCTCATATCATCAAGCATTATTTAGATTCTCATAACAAGCATGCAACCTAGATCCTTCGCATGCACAGTTCACAACCGGGTTAACGCTCCTATGAGAAACTAACACCGTTGATGTGGCCAGAGGCACAACTCAGGTAGTAATACTTGCTTGCCCACCGCTCACCTCCATCTCCTGCTATGCAGTCCGGTTTCTAACAGGCCATGATGGACGGGTAGGTATAGGCCCTGGCCTGTATTAGAAGATAGACTACCTAATATAATTTTGTGTTTTGAATCCATGAAATATTTGGATTTTTGGATCCAACATGTTCTTCAGGCTGAGTGACTTGTGAAAGCTTCTAGCCTCTTCTGTCTAAAGACATAAAAAAGGCCAGGATATGTCTTTTTCAGACATAAAAAAGATACGATTTCTAGGATAACACATTAAATAACATTTACTAGTTTTTATTGACCAGCCATCAGAATGGCCTTTAAAATTACGAAGCTATAATAATGAACATTCCTTGCACAAAAAGCATGTTATTTTGAAAATGTCCTTTTTTATTCCTTAAATGTTTTGTTGTCTAAAAGTTTTGGCTTTATGTAAGAATGATAAATTTTGCTGTTTGTTAATGTACAATCAATATGTTAACAAACACATCTTCAAGAATAATAGTAAATTCTAGTCTGTCAGATAAGAAAATTACTGATATTTGGTATTTTGTATTTGTAGCATAGCTTGACGTTTATATGTGAAAGGCCAATGCCACAATTTGCATAGAAAATAGAGATCTTAATTCACTTTTATAGTAAAAGTATCATATACTTTACTGCCACTAGATGACAGCAAAGCAATAAATTTTGTATTCAAATTTCACAGCAGTTTTATCTTCTTTTATTTTGAATAAGATGTTATATTAGAGTATCTATACTTAATAAATGCTTATAATCTCTCACATACCTTATAATAAATAAGTACAAAATATTATGGAGCTATATTTCAGTAGAAAGCATATAAAATCTTTTTTATTATGAAAATATTTATATGGGCTTATGTTCATTTACTATCTCATGGCTTGATATTAAATTACGTGCAGGAGTTAGTTAAGTCAGTAAATACATGGTTGACGTCAGCAATGATGTTGCATAAAGCATTTTCATCTGAGTTTCTTCTAAGAACAAAATTATTATGTTTTTTGAGAAAACAGTATTTGGAATTAAATACCACTTTATTGTGGTAAATACTAAAAATGTATTTTAATTTTTAGCATAAATGCCAAAATTAAAAAAAGTTTGAGAACATAAGCTTCAGGTGAAATTAATTTAAAATAAATCAATTTAAAATATATAGCATGCCTCAATTTTTAAAGTCGTCTCTTTTAAAAATTACATTAGACATTCTAATGTCCTTTTAAGCTTGGTGAACTGCTCATATTCTTCAAAGTGTATGTTCATTAATAAATGTATGAATGCACTGTGGAGATAAAGCATGAAACAAGGAAGGTGAAATGTAAATTATTTGCTTTTAATTTAACTGTTTAATTTTTTTTTCAAACTTAAAATAACAAATGTCATTCTAGACATGAAATGAATAAAGTTTTATTTTCTGGTTTAGAGCAGTGCCTAGCTTACCCTCTGAAAATTTCTGAGTTCTTAGAACAAGGCTCCTCTGTGTCATGGGGATTATTAAAAGTTCACCTTGTATTCTGTGTACCGAAAGTCAACTTTGCAAGGTATTTAGATGGTATGTGCCTCTGTAGATTAAGTTGAGCTGTACCCCTGTATCTGACCAAAAAGGATTACTAAATCCTTGGAAGGGAAGTTGAGTGTGACATACAAATACATTTAGGAAGACAGCGTTTCACGTGGAAGAATTGGGCTCATTTAAAAAGAAAAGACAACCGTTATGAGGTTATGAACATCGACCTAACCACAACTCTATGGTTAAATACCTGCTTTCTTAATTCAGATTGTGCAGCGTTGAAACCTCAATTTTATATTACTAGCTTTATGTCTTTGGACAAATTAATCTCTCAAAGCCTTAGCTTTTAATCTCTCAAAACCTTAGCTATCGGATGCATAAAATAGAAATAAAATAATAGCAAATGATTGATTGTGTATCTATAAGACAAGTGCATGTAAATCTTGTGGAGTCCATAGCGAACACTCAGTATATTTTAGCTTTCATTTCTTCCTAGCCTCCACCTTACCCTTACTGATATTTGAAATTATAGGATAACCAGTTTCATTGCTGGTCCCTAAATAGTGAAGTCATATTCTTCTCTTTGAAATGTTCTCTTTATCTACCCTAGACACAGCTTAGTTGATCTCTACAGAAGTGTTAAGAAAAGAAACTAATGTGGTATCAGTATTTATTTCTCTGTTCTGGGGATGTCAAATGGCTAGGTATTTGCTTTATATTAATAAGAGAAGCAGATTCTAGCAGAAGGATCTGTGAGGCAGCAGTCAGAAATCTTTAAAAACTGGGGATTGGAGAAAATAATTAGAAATTTCTAAATGGGTTTGGACTCACGAACACTGATCCTCACTGATTGTGGGCATTTTATTTGAACACTACCATGTATAAAAGAGAAAGATTAACTTGTCTCAAGAATTTAATCTTTGAATACATAGACTCAACTTCACAGTGCATTGACCTTACAAAAATATGCGTGCACATCATGATCACTTTTACTTGCAGAAATAGCCCCTTTCCTCTCTGTGTAGCTTTAAGCATTAGGCGTAAAATTGTTCTTCTCATTAGGCATAGTAAAAGTAAAACCCAGATGTGGACTAAGTCTCATTAGTTTAGTATAGTACTGCTAATTGAAAAATTATGTCATGGCTGATATGACAGGATTTCAGAAGTGCCAGCAATTGAAAATACAGAGAAAGGGTCAAGTGCAGTGACTCAGGTCTGTAATCCCAGCACTTTGGGAGGCTGAGGCAGGACGGTTCCTTGAGCCCAGGAGTTCAAGCCCAGCCTGGGCAACATAGTGAAACCTCGTCACTATGAAAAAAAATTAATCAGGTGTGGTGGTGCATGCCTACAGTCTCAGCTACTCAAGAGGCCAAGGCAGGAGGACTGCTTGAGCCCGGGAGGCGGAGGAGCTGGTATCGTGCCACTGCACGATCTGGGCAACAGAGGGAGACCCTGACTCAAAAAACAAACAAACAAACAAACAAACAAACAAACAAATAAATAAAACAGAAAATACGAGAAAAGGAAATACCTAAATGGACAATAGGATGAAATTTTTGATTCGTTAGCCACAATTTTATTTTTTACTGTATATTGCAATTTCCCAAATTTTAATTAGATTTAAAGCTTGTATTTGCTGCATATATCAGGGAATATTTTCATTGATGGAATTATTTCTCTAACATATTCGTTTTAGGTCATTATTTGGAAACCTAATTATTTTTTATTTTGTTTTTTAAAGATTACTACATATTGCATAGAACCTGAGATGGTGTAATGCAGAATATAGAACTTTAGAAGGTATAATAGAACAAAAAGATTAAAATGCTAAGTAAATTAATCAGGTACGTTAACCTTTAAAGAATGTAACTCATTTTTATTTTTCTATATTTATATTATATTATCTCTTTTTTTGTTTATACAGAACTTGGAATCCATTTTGATCACATATGGCAAAAAACTTTGACAGTGTTAAACCCAATGAAGCCAGCAGATGGCAGCATTATGAATGAAACGGACCTCACTGGACCCATTCTTTTTTGCGTAGCCCTGGGAGCCACCTTGCTTCTGGTAATGTGTCACAGCAAGCACCAGATTTTAGTGCTTGTCCTTTCCAGTGTCGATTTTGAAGCAATCTGTATAAATACAAGAGAAAGTGTGTCACTTTACACAGTGAATTTTTTTAAGTGAAAGAGAGTAATTTAACCATAGTGACAAAAAGATGCTACCATTATGTGTTGCAACAGCTAGAAAGTATAAATTTAAATAGAATTTCAAAAGGAGATCAAAGCAAGAGATCATTTATATCTTTTTTGCTATTAAGAAAAGAGTGTAAATCTGGAATAAGGGAAGGAAAACAAAGATTTGGAAGATATAAAGCCTACGTTTCAGTTTTTGTTTTCTGAGAGAGTTCTAATGTGACACTGAACAAGTTACCTTTTTTTGGTCATCATTTCTCTGCTGTGACATCTCCAGACTCTTTCTAATATCTTAGGAGGTATGAGACAGATCTCCTTATTTTGGGTCAGGCTGCTATGAATAAATTAATTTGCAACGACAGCCTATGATTTGTTTACTCAATCTACATATTTCCTCTAAAGTGTTTTCTACTTTTTGTGAAGACATTTGTTCTCTGACATGAACATGTTTTATATACGCTTTCATTCTTTATATCTGCAAATAATGATATTAAGGGTTACTAAAAATTTTTTAAAAAGTATTTCCACCTAAGTTTAAAAGACATTCTAGCTCAGAGTTTAGGAAAACATTTTACTAAAAAAAAGGAAGAAGAAAAAAATGAGAAAATGTCTCTGACTTCATACCAAGGAGGAGATGGCAATACATTAAAAACAGAGAATGATGAAGTTGGTCAAGTCAGTGTGAAAAATGTAGTTTCATTAGAGCACAAAAAGATAAACTAGGTAGGGGAAATAACATGAGAAATTAAACATTATGGGAAAGGTTTTAATAACTATTTAGCCCTATTCCCCATTTTCCTGCTCTTCATGTTTCATATAAATAATTTCTTCCAGTGGATTTACAATTTTCAAATGTAGTTGTAAAACACATTTGCAACTGAATGAAATTCCACTTTTAAATTATTATATATGATCTTTATCCACCTGTCGTCTTTGTAATTACCAACTTTCAAATTAGGTCTCTGAGTGGATGTCCAAGTTGTTAATTCTCCTAATATAGAAGGAGAAAATAATAAGCGCAGCCAGAAAGAAAGGCCAGGTTACCCACAAAGGGAAGCCTATCGGACTTACAGCAGATCTCTCAGCAGAAACTCTACAAGCCAGAAGAGAGTGGGGGCCAATATTCAACATCCCTAAAGAACAGAACTTTCAGCCCAGAATTTCATATCCAGCCAAACTAAGCTTCACAACTGAAGAAAAAATAAAATCTTTTATGAACAAGCAAGTACTCAGATATTTTATTACCACCAGGCCTGCTTTACAAGAGCTTCTGAAAGAAGCATTACACATAGAAAGAAACAACCAGTATTAGCCTTTCTAAAAATATACCAAAAAGTAAAAAGCATCAACATAAAGAAGAATTTACATCAACGAATGGATAAAACAGCTGGTTAACATAAAATGGCAGTAACCCTAAATTTAAATTGACTAAATCCCCCAATCAAAAGATATAGCCAAAACCCAACAGTATGCTATATCCAGACCCATTTCACATGCAAGGATACACAAAGACTCAAAACAAAGGGATGGAGAAAGATTTACCAACCAAATGGAGAGCAAAAATAAATAAATAAATAAAAAGCAGGAGTTGCAATTCTTGCATCTGATAAAATAGATTTTAAAGCAACAAAGATATAGTGGTAAAAGGATCAATGCAACAATAAGAGCTAACGATCCTAACACCCAGATACATAGAGACTTAGACTCCATGAGACAGAAAATTAATAAGGATATTCAGAACTCGAACTCAGATCCAGAACAAGTAAACTTAATAAATATTTATAGAGCTCTCCACTTTAAATACACAAACTATACATTCTTGTCAATACCACATCACACCTACTCATCGGTTTAAATGAAATATTGATTGGCCATTATTAATAACCACTTTTTAGAATAAAGCAACATTTCCATTCTCTCTTCCTCTTTTTCTTCCTCTTTCTTCCTCTCCTTCACTCCTTTTATTTCTTCTCAAAAAATAAAAATTAAAAAATTAAAAAAGTAAATTATTATATATGATCAATCAAAGTACTGGTAGCAATCTGGTTTTTGCCGGAAATATGGCTAATAATAATATTATATTCATCCAATCTGATAGTATTTAATGATGACATCTTATTCCTTTGTTCTACATCAAATGCAAATACTCTGTAAACCAAGCACTATATCAACTAGAGCTTTAATTTAGTCTCTAACCTCTCTTCTTCTGTCTTTGTGACAATAATTTGATAATCTTTGATTAACTGCTAAGTAAGGCTATTTCAATTAATCAAATAGTCAGAAACAATCACTTTAATATATTCACTCATCTTTCTTTTTCAAGTCATTCATAATAAAACAGCTGTTTGTTCTGTGGCAGAATATTACTGTTACCATCCCGTAAAGAACAGCATTGATTCCATTATGATCTGTCATGGATGCATAATGTTAGTTGGTGTTATTTACATATCCCTTTTTATGTTTTCAATATAAAGCTATCAAGGCAAAAAATATTCTTGATTGGAAGCAAAAAAATTGTATCTACCCTAACTTTGTCATTTGCTGCAATCTTTAATCTTTGGCTTCCTATTTCTAGGCTTTTATTTCATTTTCTTCAAGACAAAAGCAGTTTATTTGAGTAGTTCTACAGGTTCTATTTAGTTCTAAATTATGGGGAATATATGAAAATACTATTTTTGAACATCTTTATACAAACATTATCACTCGAATTTTTACCATTAGATGTGGTGACATCCAAATTGATTTTGATAAACATAGAGCAAAAAGGACTCTCCCAAAACTCCAATTGAATAGTAATTGAAATATGATTTAACTCAGAATTCATTTAATTATAGTTTAATTCTTTTCTGGTTATGCAGAATTAAAATGTAAGGGTGATTTTATAGGCTGATATGGGAATTTTACTAGAGAAATCAAAACTAAATCCAGAATCAATATCCAAATCTGTTTATTTTCTCTGGAGACATAAGAGTCATAGTCACATACTCTTCCTTCTTTATGATTTATGCTGACATAAGACACTATTTATTTCCGTGGGCTTTCCTCAGGTTAAAGGAGACAAACCAAAGAAAACAGCTTCAAGCACTTAACATAAATTTAGTTTTACTTATTCTTTCACCCCCAATTATTTTCATTTCTAGCATCAAGAACACAAATGCTATTGCTCCATTTAACTTTTCTGGTAGGGCCAAGAGTGTGGTCTGAAAAAGCAACATGCATGAGCAATATAAACGTGCAATCAGAAGAACATTAACTATTTCACATCAAGATGTGGTGATGAGGATGGTGTAAGAAGGATCTTTAAAAGGTTTGAGGGTAACAAAATAGAACACTATTTCATATTTCAATTGTAAGCCCTTGTTAGAATTTGAAACAAAATTTAAAAATGGCAGTGATTTAGGCTAAATGGAATTACAATTTAAACTGGACAAACTAACAAGAGAAAGACATGATGAAAGAAGTGCATAACTGATATGAAAAGACACAATTTTACTACCAAATTAGCTTCATCTACTTCCTATTTGCCCCACTCCATTTGTAAAACTGCCTTTTCAGGACAGGAAGGTCCAGTTAGGTGTCCTTTGGGTGTAAGAGGGTTGCCCTATACCATTTGGACTAGCCCTACCTCAGAATTATCCCATTCAGGTAAAATATTAACTAGATGGTTTCTCTAATACATGACAATGATGTGAAATTGTCACTATTTTCCAAGTGGAACAAACTCACCAAATAAAGCAGTGGATAGCTGATGTGTTTCTATCAGCCTGTCCATCATTAGCATCATTTCATTAAATAGCCACAAGAATAAAGAAGATATCCTGAGAATCCTGCCAACAAAAGCCAGGGATACTTTATGAAAGGACTGGGTAATGATCAACTCTGCAACCTCAGAGGAAGAAGAATTCAGAATAGGTGAACAATTTTGAACATTAAAATGGCTGTGACATTCCCCATTAGTAAAATAAATATCTCTAAAAGACTTCATAGATAATAGCATAGAGAAGGAAAAGTGGCAGCTATAAAGCTCTCTCTCCTGAATCCATTTATCAGATCTTTCAATGTTTTTGTCTAATTCTCATGAAAAACAGAGACAATCTATTCGACTTTTATCTAGAAGTTATGATCAGCTTAATGTAAACATTAAAAAGTAATGAATTTTTAAACTATAGCTTTGGTATTCTCAGATAGCGAACATTAAGATATTCTCTGTCGAAGTAGTAGTAGGCTGTGATTTTCTCTGAATGAATTTATGGGGGCTTGTACTAACAAGACACTAGCTTTGTGAGCAATGACTGTTTTTGTAAGTTTTCCTCAGAAGACTGGAGGTGCACTACTAACTTCCTTTGACAGTATCCCTTTTATGATTTATTACCAGTAAGTTTATGTAAATCAGCTTTTCATAAGGTGTGGTTAATCAACCTGGCTATTGGTGTTATGAAACATAACTATGGTCAAATAAGTGCTAAAAAAATAAGGTTAAATATGTCCCATTATTTTGAGACTTATTTAGGACTTCTAAGAGTTCCTGTTGATGTTTAGGGCCTAAATTTTAGAGGTGAAATACCTAGGTTCAAAGCCAGTCTCCGTTGCTTAGCATTATATTACCTTGGGCAAGTTACGTATTCTCTCTGCACCTCAGTGTCCTCATATGTAAAGGTGCTGTAATAATGATACCTATTTCATAAGATCATTACGTGGGTTAAGTAAACATATGTAGGACACTTAGAATGGGACCTGACATGGTAAATCCTGTAGATGTTTGCTAATTTTACTAATATGCCTTGTAAATCTCCAAGACTAAAATTGGATTTTTTTATTCCTCTATTCAATCGCGTAATTATTTAATAGATATGGGGACAAAATATGGTCTTTCTTATGCTCTGTACTTATAATAGACAATTTATAATAAAAGATAGAAGTCTAGAAATATTTGATATTTTTTTGTAGCATGCTTGTCCCATCCTGACTCTAGTCAGAAGTGTTAGTTTTCAGAATCTGAATTCATATCATGGGTTGTGTTTTCCCAGAACTTCCGGTCTCCTGATGATAGTCTTACAAAGACAACAGCACTGAACTGACTCTAAGGTGCTCTCTGCTTCGCGATAATACTCAGATTTTCTCTTGGTGACTATTGTGTGTTCAAACACTTTTCTTCACGTTGTTTCAGACAGGGAAAGTTCAGTTTGGTTATGTGTATGGCCTGAGTGCCATTGGCTGCCTTGTGATTCACGCCTTGCTGAACCTGATGAGCTCTTCAGGGGTGTCATACGGCTGTGTGGCCAGCGTGCTGGGTTACTGCCTGCTCCCCATGGTCATCCTGTCTGGCTGCCCCATGTTCTTTTCACTGCAGTAAGTGTCTGTCTGCTGTCATTGACCCCACATGCACAATCATAGCCAAGGTTTGCTATAGCCATGCCAAAGTTAAGTTCTTTCTGATTGTTTTGGTAGCGGAACTGGGAAAACCATGGCTCTTAACAGCTTCACATAGATTGAGAAAAGTAGGTCAGTTTTGGCTCAGGTGCTATTTCTACTTTGATGATGTAAAAAATAAATTAATCCAAGTTATCTTTAAAACTGACGCTTTTTAAGTTGTCATATTTTTCAATGTGAACTATCATCGTGTGTAAAATAATAACTACAGGAAATTCACTTGTTTGATTTTGGAAGAGTAAGTGCCTGGTGAACACTGATAAATTGCTTCAGCTTTCAGGCACTCTGCCTTTGGGGCTGAAGGCAACTATTCTTTCTCAGCTGGGCTCCTTGCCACATAGATTTTCCAGGAAGCCTGAGAGGATATTAATGTTGGAGAACTTTATAACATACATGCTCAGTCAATACATTTTTTCTTTTTTTCTTCCTTAATTTAGCCAATAATTATGTGCAACTCAAGACAATGACTAAGAATACAGTCCATTAAATAGCTCTAGAAATTATCCCTAATAGGTATTTCTTAATTCAATAAATGTAGTATTTACTTGGTGTTTAAAAAATATGTTTGGTTCATTAATAGTCTGAGGCATTAGAAGCTATACTGTAGAGTTTTTCACTTCTTTTGCTTTGGTTCAATTATTGGAAGTAGATTTCTGTCATTTTCACAAATAAGAAACACAATTCCCAACTTCAGAGTCAAACCAAGATCAAGGAAGGCAGTTTAGTTTGGTGGTGAAAAGTGTACTATGCTGGGAGTTAGGAGATCTTGACCTATTGTCCACTTCACTATGCAACTTTTGTCATCATTTTATTACTTTGAAACTGGGCAGTACACATTTCCTGAGATTTCGCTCAGCTTTTATGTCTTATTTTTCTAAATAATGCATTCTGTTTAACACGTTGGAAAAGAAGTTCGCTCCCAACCACCCTCCCTACTTTATTATTCGGCAAGTGACTAGACTTAACCACCTTATTTGCTCACTTGCCTCTGCAGTTACTTTTTGAAGATACAATTGAACAAATCTATTTCAGTAGTCTAAAAATATTCAAAATGGAACTTCAGGGATGAGGTGGGAAGCCACACATATGTGCTTTCCTATCCCATGTGTTCCTTACTTGAGCTGTGCCAGGCTTTTTTGTGATCTCAGACAAAAACCTAGGAAGTAGATCTAGAAATATTAGGAACTAGGCACCCCACTGCAATGTAAGTCTGTTATTCTTTCTCCTCCGCTGTTGGCCAATTTTCGAGGAAAGTAGGGAAAAGAAAATCTATAGCTATATGGAAGTGAAGATTCTCAATGCTGTATTTCAGGGAATTTTAGGAGTTAGGATTTGAATATTGACAGATGAGAGGAGAGTGACTGCAGGTGATTTCTACTGTTTTTTTTTTTTTTTTTTTTTTCTAATTCAGGTTTAACAGAAGTATAAAATATTTATTCTCTGTAATGAATTTGACTTAAAAAACGCCTAACTGGCCAAGGGCTTTTGTTCATGTATTTCATCATTCTATTTTACTAATGGAGAAAGCCGTTATAAATACTGTACTAAGGATAGTTCAGAGGGCAACTCTAACTTAGTGATCTCTTTTTCTACTGGCATAAAGCAATCATCTCTTGGTCTTTGCTGCAGGGGCGCCTTTGGAACTGTGTCATCCCTGGTCATCATTGGCTGGTGTAGTCTCTCAGCTTCCAAGATTTTCATTTCAGCCTTGGACATGGAAGGACAGCAGCTTCTTGTTGCCTACCCTTGTGCCTTACTTTATGGACTTTTTGCCCTCCTAACAATTTTCTAAAAAATGTTTGAGATGGCATTGCAAGACTCTATTCGTTTGCTATCCAGATTATTTTGGAACTATATTGACATTCAAATTTGGTAATAAGATTTCTGTTTTATTGCTTTTGAGAGAGTAATAAGCAGAGCAACAAAGCAGCACTTAAGGATGGTGCTCTAATAGCCTATTGGTTTGAATAATGTTTTGCTTTTGAGTTTGGTGCATTAAAACATTTCAAAATACTTAAAAAGGGATACAGATGCTGTACTGATCGACCCTGCTTTTCTCAATAGACGTATTTCTGAGAAACCGTAAGTAAATAAAACCATATGTTTACCAAAAGGAAATCTCTAGTAAGCCTTTTGAGAAACTTTCATGACAGCTCAAGCTGTGTGCATGTGGCTAAAAATTGCACTGTTCTGCACCTTTGGAGAGTTCAGCGGTTGTTATGTAGGGTTTTATTTACCCAACGTCTCAAAGAACCTCTTCCCTTTAAATAAATAGTTTTAATAACTATTCTTTGGTCTCATTTAGATAATGCATTGACTCACCACTTTTTTAAGCCTTCAGTTTCATCTTACTTGGTTTAGATGCCATGATTTATTACTCTAATTTCTTTCTCGTATGTATACTCAGCAACCTTGCCATTTTCTCCCTAAGTAGGTGAATGTTACTAGAAGAAATCCCACTCACTTTATGTTTATTGTATTACCATGTCTTAAGTGGCTTCTCTGTACTATCCTCGAGTCCTACTACATTCTCTTAAATTTGCCTCCATGCTATCTGAGATAAATATATCACACCAGTTCTTCTCCACCGAAATCCCCAAGACTCCTTTCTCATTTTCTACTGTTAGTCAATTCTTATTTTATTGCAAAACAGAAACATCTAGAAGAAAAGTGCTTGTCTTTCCCCTTTCTTCTCTCTCCACCTACATGCATCTTTACCCATATGTACTCTTCTTTTCCTCTTGTCTCTCTCTTCTCTCCACAGCCATCCCCTCTACCTGCATAACCCATATTTTCTCCTCATCTTTCATTTATATCAGCACATGAATATGTTTCAATAACTTTTATCTTAAAATAAAACTCCTTTGATTTAACATCTTTATCTAGTTATGGCCCATTCTCTGTTCCTTTTTATTGCAAAAACCCTTGAAAGCATTTTCTATTGTCTCTGCTTCTACTTCATCATCTCCCATTCTTGCTATCTTACATTCTAGGCAATAATTTATCACCCTATTCACCAAGACCACCTTTGTCAAGTTAGCAACAATGTCCACATCTTGTAAACTTGGATGGTCAATTCTGTTTCATTTTATTTGAACCCTGACAGGTATTTATTTGATTATCCAACCTTCTTAGCCATTATGCTGAAGCACTTCTTCACTGAAATTCTAGAGTGTCACATGCTCTTGGATTATTTTCCTACCTCATAGGTAGCTTCTCCTCAGTCTCCTTGACGGATCTTCTTCTTAGCCTTAAATCTTTCTAATCCTCCCTTGCTAGATGAGCTCATTTAATTGAATGGCTTTAAAATCTAATGATCACCAAATTTCAATCTCCATCCAATACTCTCCCCTAAGCTCTTAACATATATACACAACTTATACTTAATACTTCCATTTGATCATTAATATGATATGCTTAGTAATAGCATATCTGAAACCAAACCTTTGACTTCTATCCTGTCCTACCCGTCCCTCTTTCATATTTTCTCATCTTTATAAGAAGAACCACAAATCACTCAGTTGTTCATTTACAGAGTAGTCAGTCTTGGTTACTCTTACTTTCATATATGATATCTGGTGCATCAATTATTTTAACTATGTAATCAAAACGTGTCCCAAAAGTGACCATGTGTCCTGGGCTCCTTCGTTGCCTGAACTACTCCCAACCACTCTGCTCTGTCACAGCACAGAAGCAGTTTCCTAATTGGCTTCATGTTTTCATCCCAATAAGCTTTTCTTTTTTCTTTTACTTTTTGTATTTTTGTTTTTATTCTTTATTGTTTTATTATTATATTTTAAGTTCTGGGGTACATGGGCAGATCATGCAGGATTATTATATAGGTATACACATACCATGGTGGTTTGCTGCATTCATCACCCCATCATCTACATTAGGTATTTCTCCTAATGTTATCCCTCCCCAATCCCCCTCACCCCCTGCTATCCCTCCCCAGTCCCTCTACCCCCGAATAGACCTCAGCGTACGATGTTCCCCTCCTTGTGACCATGTGTTCTCATTGTTCAACAACAACTTATGAGTGAGAATGTGGTGTTTGGTTTTACGTTCTTGTGTCAGTTTATTGAGAATGGTTTCCAGCTTCATCCACGTCCCTGAAAAGGACATGAACTCATCCTTTTTATGACTGCATAGTATTCCATGGTGTGTATGTGCCACATTTTCTTTATCCAGTCTATCATTGATAGGCATTTGGTTGGTTCCAAGTCTTTGCTATTGTAAACAGTGCCACAATGAACATACATGTGCATATGTCTTTATGGTAGAATGATTTATAATCCTTTGGTTATATATCCAATAACAGGATTGCTGGGCCAAATGGTATTTCTATTTCTAGATCCTTGAGGAATGGGCACACTGTCTTGAACTAATTTACACTCCCACCAACAGTGTAAAAGCATTCCAATTTCTCCACATCCTCTCCAGCATCTGTTGTCTCCAGATTTTTTAATGATCGCCATTCTAACTGGTGTGAGATGGTATCTCAATGTGGTTTTGATTTGCATTTTAATGACCAGCTTTTCTAAACATCAGTGTGATCTTTTGAAAATGAAAAGCAATTATGTCATTCCAAGTCCCTTTCCTGTCTTTCACTCATATTTGAGTAATTATTTGAGTTTTACTCAATAAAACTCAACCCCTTTTTATAGCTCGGAAGCTTCCTTTTCAGAGTGGTATCCAGAACAATATTAGCATCCCTTGGAAGCTTGTTGGGAATTCAGAATCTCAGGTCCTGCCCCAGACTTCCTTAATGAGAGTCTGCATCTTAACAAGATTCCAGATGGTTTATATGCACAACTAAGTTTCAAAAGTGTGAGACAAGAAGGTCTTGCCTGCACAATCTCACTATGTCTTGCCTTTTTGACATCATCTTCGATTCTCTCTCTGGATCACTGGTTTTATTGCTTCTTTTCAAACCAAGTTTATTCACCTTAGGATCTTTATACAAATTCAGTCTACTTGCAACATTTTCACTTCAGATCTTTTTTTTTTTAAGGAGGGAAGGAAAGAAAGAAAAAAAGGAGTGAAGGAGCGGAAGAAAGAGGAAGAAAAAGAGGGAGAGAGAACGGGAATGTTGCTTTATTCTAAAAATGGGTATTGACATAAAATAGGTCTTTTATACCAATAATTGTGCTTAATAATGGTCGATCAATATTTCATTTAAACCTATGAGTAGGTGTGATGTGGTACTGACAAGAATGTATATTTTGTTGGCCGGGCGCGGTGGCTCAAGCCTGTAATCCCAACACTTTGCAAGGCCGAGGCGGGTGGATCATGAAGTCAAGAGAACGAGACCATCCTGGTCAACATAGTGAAACCCCATCTCTACTAAAAATATAAAAAATTAGCTGGGCATGGTGGCACGTGCCTGTAATCCCAGCTACTTGGGAGGCTGAGGCAGGAGAATTGCCTGAACCCAGGAGGCAGAGGTTGTGGTGAGCCAAGATCACGCCATTGCACTCCAGCCTGGGTAACAAGTGTGAAACTCCATCTCAAAAAAAAAAAAAAAAGAATGTATATTTTGTGTATTTAAAGTGGCGAGCTCTATAAATGTTTATTACGTTTACTTGTTCTGGATATGAGTTCAAGTCCTGGATATCCTTATTAATTTTCTGTCTCGTTGATCTATCTAATATTGATGTTGAAGTCTCCCACTATTATTGTGTGGGAGTCTAGGGAGTCTGAGTCTCTTTATAGGTCTTAAGTATCTGGGTGTTAGGATCATTAGCTCTTATTGTTGCATTGCCCCTTTTACCACTATATCTTTGTTGCTTTAAAATCTATTTTATCAGATGAGAGAATTGCAACTCCTGCTTTTTATTTGTTTATTTATTTTTGCTCTCCATTTGGTTGGTACATCTTTCTCCATCCCTTTTTTTTGAGTCTTTGTGTATCCTTGCATGTGAAGCAGATCTCTCAGCAGAAACCCAACAAGTCAGAAGAGAGTGGGGGCCAATATTCAACAACCTTAAAGAAAAGAACTTTCAGCCCAGAGTTTCATATCCAGCCAAACTAATCTTCACAACTGAAGGAAAAATAAAACCTTTTATGAACAAGCAAGTACTTAGAGATTTTATTACCACCAGGCCTGCTTTACAAGAGCTTCTGAAAGAAGCATTACACATAGAAAGGAACAATCAGTATTACCCTTCCTAAAAATATACCAAAAAGTAAAGAGCATCAACATAAAGAAGAATTTACATGAATGAATGGACAAAACAAAAAAATTTCATATTATTAACTTCTCTATTCATATTACCTCCTCAGAGAAGCCTTCACTGGCTTTCTTTTTTTCAACAGTACACCCATCCAGCTTTGCTGAGTCTGCTTCTTGCGGTAGCTGTTACAATTACTTGAAATTATGTTTTTTATTTAGTTATTTGCTTTCCATTCTTCCCCCAACTCCCCAGAAAATAAAAACTCTGAGGCCAAAGAACTTGTCTATATGAAACAGTTCCCAATAAGGAATAGGAGATTAACATTTATTTATTAAATTAATGAATAAATAAACAAGGCTGGGATTAGACATTGGTCACTATGGTGAACCAGACAGTTGACGGTTGCCGCCTTAATGGAAATACTTTGGCAGTGGAGAAAAATAAACAGTAAGCAATCAATTAATATGAGAAAGTTACAAAAGTATGAGAAGAATTCTAAGGCAGGAGTATGTGGAAAAGAAGGCAGGATTGTAGTAAATGTCAGACTGTTATGGACTAATCACCCATTAATAGACATGTTAATTAGCAAAGATTTTCTTATGTTCTTGGTCTTTATATTTGGGCTGAGACAATTCTACTGACATCCTTCATGGTGAAGCAAGAATGCCATTTATTGTAATGCTTTCTCTATAAAAATCACCCCTTTGTTAAGAAGTATACTTATGGACCGATTTTTTTTTTGGAAACTGCTTTTATTTTTAGAAAGATAAAATTAAAAATTGCTCTAAATTCAGGATGTAAGTTGATGTTTTTCTGTGTATAAAAACAGAGTCATACACAGAAAAGATTTGATATTTTTCACTATGAAAAATTAAAGCCTCTATATTAAAAAACTACATAAACTATTAAATATTTCCATAACAGTAAGAAATAAGAATAAATTCTATTTAATAGTTCCTAATGACAGAATTGTGAATACCAAAGAATTAATGTAAAAAGAAATACAGATGATTTATATGAAAATAATTGCAAAATATTAGAGGCTTATTTTAGGAAGCTTAAATTTATAAAAAGATAGACTATATCCCTGGATGAGAAAATTGGACTTCATAAGAGAATCTCCACCAAATAAATGTGTATGTTTAATATAATCTCAATTAAAATCCAAGAGGCATTTTTCTAGGAGGTCAACAAATTGATTCTGAGGTTAATATAAAAAATTGGGCAAATATATAATATAATTGTGAAGAATCGGAAAAAATATAAAAATTTATTACAATTGTGAGTTAAGTAGGTTATTGTTTATCTCTGTAATTGAATGCTTGGTAAATAAGAAATATTTTGGAAGAGTCATGGCAGGAGAAATTATATGCAGCAAGTTTTCACATTTTGATATTTACTAAGGATTTACCATGGGCTGGCCTAGATGCTTTAAGTTTATTAACTCACATTTAATCCTCACTATAATTTTATAAAGTGCACTTATCATCACCTCCATTTAATAAGTGAGGCTACTGAGTTACAGAAAGGCTAAATCACTTGCTGAAAGTTACACAGCCAATGGCTAGGAGTTGAATCAAGGAAGCTTGATTCCAGAATGCATAATCACTATATAACACTGCCTGTAGCTAAGTAGCAATTCATCTATTGTTCATTCTACTCAGTTTTATTCTTTCTTGTTGATCTTGGGCAATACTGGACAGAGCCAATGGGCTTTACCTACAAGGGAAAAATAATATTGTAATAAGACAGAAGAATCCATAATGTCTAAGTGGATTAAAGTAGTACCTGTATGACTCCTGGGTCCGTTTCTGAACTCTAATTGAAATGAATGATGCATATTCAGATCCAGTTAGCATTTGCATACAAACATTTTGCAAAATATCATTATTTCCCCCAATTCCAAGAGGTGCATACATTTTATGGATTTGTGTGGAATGAAGATATTTCCTTTTAAATTTATTATATACTTTGTAAAATGTATCTGCAGTCAGTAGAATGTGCTACAGAACAAATGAGAAAGTGAAAGAAAACACATTTGGGGTACACAATGAGAAATATATCTTTTTTTTTTTATCTGAGAATGTAACATTTTCATTTTTCTGTCTTTACTGGTTGGATGAAACTACAGATTATTGCTAAGGGTAAATGGCACATTTAGTGTCAAGAGATGGCCTTCATTTCAACAGGAATGATTGGGGACATGGGCTGAAAATAAAAGTCCTGAATTACTCGGACTCAAGTGCCCCAGTTCAAAACAGTTTAACTAGGGCAGTGGCCTTTGTCACATTTGATGACAGATGCTATTCTACTCTGCTCTGACTCCAAGTGAAGGATGCCAACTGTAAACCCACATTGACAAGCTACTGCTCCTCTTGTTCTCAGAGCATGGTAGGTTCTATTCTGCTTCTCTGAAACAGTCAAGAGCCTATAGCTTTACAAATAGGTTTTCATATTTGAGTAAAAGTATAAAATAATTTTTTAAGTTTAAAAAACCAACAAGGCTGTGTTGCAGAGAATCCTTGATGATGGTGACCAAATACATATTTTTTTTTTTGTGAAGGTAGGATTCATGGGCTTTTACAATGCTGATTAGCCATGCAGACTGGTGAAAATATCTTGGAAAAAGATTTTGACATAGAAGAAAAGAAGGAAATAAGTAAAGGAGGAAAGAAGGAGAAAAATCAACCTTAAGTTCTCATCCCAGTTCTGCCTGTAAATAGTTTGCTGCATTTAAGACCGTTACATAGCTTTTTGAAATTCATTCTCTTTACATGGAAAATGAAGTGAGTAATGCAGAGTTTGCAATGGTCTTGTGAGGACTAAATAAGATGCTGCATATAAATTGCCTAGCCCAGTGCCCTGCATATAGTAATTACCCAGTAAGTGGAAACTTGCCACAGCGGTAATAGATCCTCAGGGATAAGATTTTAGGAAAGTCTATTTGCTTTTCCATCATATCATGAATAAAATTATGGGTAAAAGATGATGACCTTAATTGATATATGGACTTAATGGAAAACAATTATTTTGGCATGGTGGTGCAACCAGTGAGGGAGATAATGTCAAGGTCAGCTAAACTTTTTGTTAAGTATTACTAGAAATATTAACACAATTTTATGAATTTGAGACAATGTCCTTTGTTGAAGTTTTAGTATTTGGCTACCAAGCATCTGAATATTTTATAAAGAAGGCATTTTCCACACCCTCTCTCTGATCTTTGGCAGCTAGTGGCATATGAAATAGGATTGGCCAATTTGATCATTTTGTTCAGCACCTGGAATCCTGATAAACTGATACAAGAGCATAGAAGAAGTTAGAAATATTCACAGAAGCTGAAGGACAGATTCTGGCGGTGGTAGTAACTATGCATATGTAGCTGGGTCCATATCTGTAGAAGAACTTTATCTTGAGCAAGACTTGGGCTGTGTTCTCCACTCAGTCTCTTTTGGATCATGGACTTTTCCCGAACTCTGTTCCCTTACCTTACAGCTGAATCTATGAACACGCCTTTATCCTTCTTATAAATCCTATTTCTTTTTTTATTAACTAGAGCCAATTTCTGTTGTTTGCATACAAAGACTCCTAAGGTATTGATAGACTAATGAACATTTCCTATCTTGGTATCACTAAAACTTTTGAAGGCATATTAGGTTATCATAATAGAGAAGGTTGAAATACATGTTATTCTTTTCATTATCTGGGAGGACACAACTATTATATTGTATGTAGCACGAGCACAACAGTTAGCACCTAAACTGTTACTGTAGAGATATTTTCATCACACAGAACAATATAAACATGGTACATGAAACTGACTGTAGTTTCATACTGACTTAAGAAAACTACTGACTGTAGTTTTCTCTTTGACCAGAGAGATTTTTAGTAACTAGAGTGTAACTTCCAGACTCTCGGAATTAAGAACTTGTGTTTTATTTGTCCCAGCTGCAAATCTTGTGAGGCACATTGAAGATGGTATTTGTTGGTGTATAATGTGGTTTAGAGATGAGCCTTGCTAGAAGGAAAGCAGCATGTGAGGAAGAACATGCTCAATATTTCACTGAGGCAGAATCCAGGGCAAGAGCAGCAGAAATGTTAATGAATACCAGCCAATAGCAGAGCAGTCCAACGGGCTCCTGCTGACCCAGTGAGAGGGCACACAGGCCCTCAGTTGCTGCCTGTCACCAGTGGGATCATCATCTATAGGTGCTGCAATCTGTCCTGCATTTTAAAATGTGAACACTGGGGAATTCATCTCTATCTAATAAAAGGCGTGGGACTCGTAGATAAACAACCATTCTAAACTTCCTTTAAAGGGATCGTTTATTGAACAGACAGGGGTGAGAGAAGCCAGTACAACAAGTATAAGCAAGGTTGTTTTTATGTCAAAGGCATATTAGAGGAACTTTTACAGAATGCTCTCAAATTTCTGGGATTTGCTTAGGATGCAGTTGTTTAGAGAGGCCCCACTATGCCATTTTGTTTCTGTGTTTATTATTCTTTATTTGCCCAGGGAGTTTGCCAGAGGGAGTCCAAAAAACATATAGAATAAGCAAGGAAATTTTTATTCTTAGAACTATTTTTGTCAACACTGGCTACAAAAGCATTTATTATATATATATATTTGGATATGACCCTGGGCTTGCCCTCTGCAACAAATCATAGAGCCTGGGCTATTGCTTTGCATACCTATAACCCTTGCCCTATGTATCTGCCCTGGATCATCCCTGCTATCAAGAAGCATTGCTTAATTAAAACAATAAATTTGAAATGCAAATAAGTCTTCCCTGATGAATCATTTACATTAATGTTAACTTAATCTTATTAGAAATCAACTTCCAGCAAGATTTCCCAAGTTAAATTCCTTTCATCAAAACTTTTTTTAACCTCTCATCATTCATAAACTTGGATAAAATAAACCCTCCAAATAGCCATTAATATTTGCTTAAACATTATATTTTAATGGATTTTTATTTTTAAATAATGAGAGATTCTATTTACTAATTTTTGCTTTCAGTCACAACTTGAATTAATCTGGAGAAAATTCATCTTAACGCGAGCAGAATGAACTCATCCAGAATATTTTTAAAATGAACTCATCCAGAATATTTTTAAATGTTATTAGAACCATCTTGGTTCCAGCACACAGCTTCATAACACTTCAGAATTAGTACCCATTTGGTTGTGAAAAACTCCTAAGTGACCCAGAACTGCCAAAACCAGGCTTCTGCCTTATTGTTGGGTGTGTATACAATCCCCTGGGTCAGTGGTATTTTTTTTCAGACTCTTCCACTCAGACTTTCTACTTTTATTTCTTTACATGGATAGAAGGAAAAAAATATTATTATGTATATAATAGGTATGAAGGAAGGAGCTAAAGAACTAATATATAATAGGTACCTATTACTTCAGTGCTTTATATAAAATGTCTCATTTTATTATCAGAAAAAGCAATGAGATTATTTTAAAGAAGAACCTAAACTAAGAGAATATGATGCCCTTTTCCCATGGCATCCTGTGTCTACCCCTATTGCAGGTATTATCACACTGTGTTGAAAAATCTACTTATTTGTCTACAACATCCATGAAGTTTAAGTGACTTGAGTATACTGTATTCTATCAGCTTGCTGGGACTTCCATCACAAGTACCACAGACTAGGTGACTTGGACACTGGATATTTACAGTCTCACAAGTCTAGAAGATGAAAGTCTAAAATCAAGGTGTTAGCAGATTTGCTTTCTTCTGCAGCCTCTCTCTTTGGCTTGTGGGTGGCGACCTTCTTGCTGTATCCTCACATGCTCTTTCCTCAGACTCTGATTAAATTACTGTGTTAATGCAATGCATTAATGTCTGCCCATATGACCTCATTTTACTTTATTTATCTCTTATTTTTTGTATTATGTTTATTATTATTTTGAGACAGAGTCTTGCTCCACCACTCTGGAGTGCAGTGGTGTGATCTCAGCTCACTGCAACCTCCAATTCCAAGATTCAAGTAATTCTCATGCTTCAGCATCCCAAGTAGCTGAGATTACAGGCACCAGCCATCATGACGGGCTAATTTTTGTATTTTTAGGAGAGACAGGGTTTCACCATGTTTATCAGGCTTCTTTTGAACTGCTGACCTCAAGTGATCTACCCACCTCAGCCTCCAAAAGTGATGGGATTACAGGCATGAACCACAATTTACCTTTTTTAAAAAAATTGTACTTTAGATTCTGGGGTACATATGCAGGTCATGGAAGATTGTTGCATAGGTACATTCCTGGCAAGGTGGTTTGCTGCCTACATCCCCCCATCACCCATACCTGTAATTCTCCCCATGTTATCCCACCCCATCCTTTCCCTCACTGTCCCTCCTCTATTCCTCTGCGACAGACCCCAGTGTGTGATGCTCCCCTCCCGGTGTCCAGTGTTCTCATTGTTCAACACCTACCTATGAGTGAGAACATGCAGTGTTTGATTTTCTGTTTTTGTGTCAGTTTGCTAAAAATTGTGGTTTCTAGGTTCATCCATGTCCCTACAGAGAACATGAACTCATCATTTTTATGGCTGTATAATATTCCATGGTGTATATGTGCCACATTTTTTTTGTCTGGTCTATTGATGGTCATTTGGGTTGGTTCCAGGTCTTTGCTATTGTAAACAGTGCTGCAATGAGCATTCATGTGCATGTGTCTTTATAATAGAATGATTTATAGTTCTTTGGGTATATACCCAGTAATGGGATTGCTGGGTCAAATGATATCCCTATTCTAGACCATTGAGGAATCACTACATTGTATTCCACAATGGTTGAACTAATTTACACTCCCACCAATAGTGTAAAAGTGTTCCTATTTCTCCACATCCTCTCAAGCATCTGTTGTCTTCAGATTTTTTAATGATCACCATTCTACCTGGTGTGAGATGGTATCTCAATGTGGTTTTGATTTACATTTCTCTAATGACCAGTATGATGAGAATTTTTTCATGTTTGTTGGCTTTATATATGTCTTCTTGGAAATGTGTCTGTTCATATCCTTTGCCCACTTTTGAATGGGTTTTTTTTTTGCTTGTAAATCTCTTTTAGTTTTTTGTAGATTCTATATTAGCCCTTTGTCAGATGGGTAGATTGTAAAATTTTTTCCCACTCTGTTGGTTGCTGGTCCACTCTAATGATTGTTTCTTTTGCCAAGCAGAAGCTCTGAAGTTTCATTAGATCCCATTTGTCTATTTTGGCTTTTGTTGCCAATGCTTTTGGTGTTTTGGTCATGAAGTCCTTGCCTATACCTATGTCCTGAATGGTTTTGCTTAGGTTTTCTTCTAGGGTTTTTATGGTGTTAGGTCTTATGTTTAAGTCCTTAATCCATCTGGAGTTAATTTTAGCATAAGGTTTCAGGAAGGGGTCCAGTTTCTGCTTTCTGCACATTGCTAGCCAGTTTTCCCAACACCATTTACTAAACAGGGGATCCTTTCCCGATTGCTTGTTTTTGTCAGGTTTGTCAAAGATCAGATAGTTGTAGATGTGTGGTGCTTCCAAGGCCTCTGTTCTGTTCCATTGGTCTATGTCTCTGTTTTGGTACCAGTGCCATGCTGTGCTGATTACTGTAGCCTTGTAGTATAATTTGAAGTCCGGCAGCATGATGCCTCCAGCTTTGTCCTTTTTGCTTAGGATTGTCTTTGTTCTTTTTTCTTAGGATTTTCTATTTATTTTTTGGTTTCATATAAAGTTTAAAGTGGTTTTTTCCAATTCTGTAAAGAAGGTCATTGGTAGCTTGATGGGGATATTATTGAATCTATTAATTACTTTGGGCAGTATGGCCATTTTCATGATACTTATTCTTCCTAACCATGACCATAGAATGTTTTTCCATCTGTTTGTGTCTTCTCTTATTTCCTTGAGCAGTGGTTTGTAGTTCTCCTTGCAGAGGTCCTTTACCTCCTCTGTTAGTTGTATTCCTAGGTATTTTATTCTCATTGTAGACAATTTACCTCTTTAAAGGCCCTAGATCCAAATGAAGTAACATTCTGAGTTACTGAGGATTGAAATTTCAGCATATACATTTTGGGGTGCAGGGAACACAAACAAACCTATAGCATTGTCCATATCGAAGCATTTTTATATCTTCACCATCAAGCATAGGAAAGGATGCATACTGGACACTCAGTGAAAGAAGGCTGATGCCAAAAGTAATGCTCATTTCTATCATACAACCTTTTTATTCCAGTCATTTTCTAATCTGTTGTGCAACCTGCTACAGTTTTTTTTTCCCATACTTTTTATAACTCGCTGCTGTTCTCTTCATAGGATCTCTCAGAAAATCTGGCCACTGCCATCAATTCCTTTCCTCTCTGACACATGGCCCACTCCCCTTCTTGAATCTGGCCTGCTTGTACCTAATTTGACTAATAGCATAGTTGAAAATAACATTGTGAAATTTCTGAGCCCAACCTTTAGGAAGTCTGGCTGCTTCTGCTTCCTGGCTCTTAAAGTCTTGAACTACTTTTTAGGAAGTTCAGGCTCCCCTGCTGAAATGAGACTCCACATAGAAGAGCTGGAAACTGAGGTGCTGGAAACATCATTGAAGGCGACATCTTGGACAGATGTCTACCTTGAGTAAATATACTGATAGAAACTCTGACCAGAATTACTCTCTCCCTTGAACCCTCTCCCTTGACAACACAACTACTTCTAGGCCCATTTGACTTCACTGAAGCCTCTGCTTCCAATTTACCACATTGAAGATGGATAGATTATCATAATAGTAGAGAATTATTTTGTACTAGCCCAGTATATACAGTAGGCAGTGAGGGCAGTCTTCTCTTCTGTCCTTTCCCAAGATGTAAACTGGCTCTGTCCTAAGGAAACTCCAAGCCTCTAAACAATTTAATAAAATTAATGCATTTTTAGGGCAACTTTTGCACTTTTAACAAAAAACTGATTTCATATAATTTGAAATCTATTCACTGGAGCAACCATCCACAGAGTAGTTCTCGGCTATTCTTGAACCTGAAATGTCTGTTCAGAAGCAATTGACACTGTCAACATTTCTTGTACTATTTTAATGAGAAAAAAAATTAAAAGCAGATTCTCCATATGGCGGGTCATTAATCACTGCAATGATAGCTGGGAAGTAAATTAACTGATACTATAACCTCTCCCCCTTCAGAAGCTAAGTAATCATAAAGGTACCAAAGGAAAATTGGTTACATCTGAACACATTTTGAAGGAAGGGAAGATAATTAAAAATGTTAAAAAAATCAAAGTTTTAAACATTTATTTTAAATGTAAGACAACTTGAGAACTTCAAGCATAGAGACAGTGCTACAATTCTCATCTTTTCGTGTCACTTCCTGTGTGCTGCTCAGGCCATGCCATTCCAGCTACAGGACACCCCTCTGCATCCACTGAAGACTTTGGATCCTTATTGTGTCCTGCTCTTTGCACAAATGTTGGAGTAATCCCAAAGGACCTGCAGATCCATGTAGACTGAATGTCCCACATCACTTCTTCCAAGCATCTCCATGACTGCAGCACCCAATACCCCAACTGCACTCTGGACTATTCTGTTTCCTAGAATTATTTCACCTCAAAAGGAAAATCACATTGGGATTCTCGGTTGCTCAATTCCTTCATTTTACTTCGGTGTTCCTCTCCCATATAATTTTTGTTTCTATCCAAGGCAGATATCATGGTGTGACACTCTCAATTCCCTAAACCTTTTGCCCTTCTGCCAACCTGTTTTGCGCAACCTCACACAGCTTAAACAGAAACAAACTCTTGGTTTCCTAATTCCCTACTTGGTCTGATGGGAGCTGCTGGAAGACTGTTGAATCACACAACCATATAGATAGTTTGATTTCAAATTTATAAACCAAAATGTCAAATAAATTTTCAAAGCAATTCAATAAGTAAAACATATTTGTTATAGAACTCAAAAAAGCAGACAAACAAAAAAAGTGTGGAGAAAAAAGGCAGCCATAATGCCATCACACAGAAAAATGGCCATCAACTTTTGGTGCTTTTCCTTCCAGTCTTATTTCTATGCATATAACAGGAATAATGTGCATGTTATCTTACAAAATTCCCCTTAATATTATAAAATGCACTTAGGTAATGTCAAAGAATTTATTTCCAATGTCTAATTTTTCATGACGCCATATCATTCCCCTTTTTAGACATTCTATTATTTATCTTTAACTTTCCCTTACTGGTAGCTATTTAGATTATTACTAACCAGTAACTTTAGCTTTTTATTTAGAATGAGCTTTTAAAGATAGAATTAAGGAGATAAAGAAAATAAGAGTTTAAGGTTTTTGATGCACTTTGACAAATCAACTTTGAAAAAAGTAAGAACAATAGATTCCAATGACAATGGAAGTAAAAACAACTGTTTTGTCTTGTACTCAGGACACTGAGTAACTTATGTCACCAATGTGATCATACATGATCAGTGACAAAGTAGCACTGATAGCACTTAAAATTCTCTAAGTGAGTAAAAATCAGATATATTTGTGTTTTATCTCTTCGCTTATTAGTAAGATTAAACTTCTCACTTTATAAGTTTCATGGCATTAATTACTTTTTTGAATTACCTGTTCACAGTTTTAAAGTAATCATTTGAACTATTCCTGGCCATCTCATTTCCAATTCCACAACATCCAAGTTTGCCTCCTACATTTTAGATGGTATTTAGTCTGCCTGGCAAAAATAGTCCCTCTTGTTTATCCCAGCACCCCATCTTCTGTACTGTGCTAGTTTATTTATGGACAACTCGAATCTTTTCCCCATATTTTGCTTGTTACTTTGTATCACATGAGCCAGAACCCTGGGAATTATATTTACCTAAATTACAGTAGGTGGATTTCAGGTAAGATTTCAATAATCTTTTATGCAATATGTGATAGACCAAAAAGAAGCAGAAACCATCATTCCTTAAAAGCAGCAGTGGCCACACATATGGGTTTTGTCAGAAGGCAAATGTAAGGCTTTTCTACCTGGGTGTTTTCCTGCCTGTCTTCCAAGGCAGCTGAGATTATCACTGGCATTTTTCTACAAGAGACATATAAATTAAAGTCTTGAATGCTAGCAGTTTCCCTGTAAGGAGTCCAGCTCCACTTTCAAGTTCTATGTGTAATCTTTCAGGCTAAACCCCAGGCAAGTACAAGTGTGGAGAGGCGTCCTAGGGAGAGGTTGCCCTCCCCATACCAGACTTGTTGCACTGCCAGTCCATTGTACTTTTCTGGAGGGGACTGTATTCAAGGAATCTGGCTCTCCAGGACTAGCTATGCTCTTTCATGGAGGGATTTTTATTAGGCCAAAGGAGTCTTTAGCACTTCCAAGGCATCTTCTCCCACACCTTAGTAGAGGACTTGCCCCAGGCACTTCTCTCCATTTTGACTCCATAACTTCCAACTCCTATTTTTCCTGTATGACTACCTAATAGCTTCTTGCCTGCTACACAGATACAGCCAATTTATCAAGACAGGGGAATTGCAACAAAGAAAGTCTGATTTACGCAGAGCCCACTGAAAGAGAGACCATGGATTTATTACTCAGATAAGTCTCCCTGAAAATTTGGAGACTGGGTGTTTTTTTTTTTTAGGTTTTTAAACCCACTTTTATTGATTAATTGTAAGTAATACAAATATTCCAAAAATATAAACAGGCACTTAATGGCATCCTACATTTCAAATTTTTGAAAACAACAAATTTATCAAACCATGAATCTGTAAGCAAGATAGTCAGAATCCCATAGCCCAGTCACAGTGGGAAGCAGATCCCCTACCCTCCAAATGAGATCTTGAAGGAGGAAAGTGGAGTGAGATGGAACATGGTAAGCAAAGAAGCTCACAAGGCCCAAAGAGGAAGGCCCACTCCAGGGGCAGGTCCTACAACATTAAAAGAATGGGGCAGCTGCCCAGAACTCTGGCCTCCTCTCCCATGGCTGAATGTAGATATTTACCAGCATTTAGAAAAAAAGGAGAAAAAGAAGTAACCCATTTAGAAAAAAGGGACCGAGAGAGAACAGTGGTTATGTAACCCACTGAGGACCTGAAGCGGAAAATGCACTTACTTTCTCATATGTTTGGCTTGGCTAGGACACAGCATGCTGGACAGCCTTCTGAGAGGACTTCCTTTCTAAATGAAGCCTCAGGAACAGGTAGGGGCAGCAGAATAGAATTAGCATCCATTTCCTAGGGAAAGACTGCCTTTAGACTTCCCATGCTTTTAGCACAAAGCAGCGTCCAGGCCACTGTTACTAGAGGTGAATTTATACATTTACAAAATTCTTAAAATCTTTGGGAAGCAGGAGGGAGCTAAATAGAAGTTTCCAGGTTAACAGAAGGCAAATTCACTCAACCTCTCTAGTAAGTGACCCATGGGCCTACAGAGTGTCCCCTCTACAATGAGCAGAGTGGAAACCCTTACGTGACCCTTTTCCAAACTGCTCATGTGTCCAAAGCTCCCCCATGAGAGGGACACAAACATCAGGGTTTTGATTTAGAAGCCCAATCAGAGAGATACACTGTGTTCCTGAAGAGGCACCTTAAAAAAACTGAACCTGGCAGGTAGGCAAATTCCTGGCATGGTTTGAATTGGTGCTGACCAGGCATGGTGGCCTATTGCCCTCCAAAGACCAGTCTCAAGTGGGAGGAGCTGATGGTGGAAAGCCCTAGAACAGAGTCTGGGATGAAGTGGCTTTCTCCCTGTCTTGCCTTCCAAAATTGAGTCTGGCCTGATTTCCTCTGAGGAGCAAATTTTACAGTTATGCCTTGCCCTGACACATGGTGAAACTGGAAACCCAACAGCAAATAATGACTAGACTGGCTCTAGCCCACATGAATGGCCCCTGCTTAGGTTTGGCTGAGTTGCTTCTCTGGGAAAAGTGGAAAAGGTATTGCTGTGGGGGAGTTGCAGGTGGGCAGGCAGGGTTCCAGTGGGAGTGAGGCCTAGAAAGCAGTGCTTCATACAGATGCAGCAGGCACACGCCCACCAAGCCATCCTATTTGGGGTAGGGTACAGGGAGTAGAGAGTGCTGACTGGTTGAGTCAGAGATGAAATCAGAGGAGGTCAAATTGTGTTCATCTTGCTGTCTTCTGTTCCTGGGTTGGATCACAGAACTGGTTGAGCCAGATTGCCTATCTGGGTGGCACCAGCTGGTGTATTAGAATGCAGGGTCTGAAAAATATTTCAAGCATCAATCTTAGGTTTCACAATAGTGATGTTATTCCGAGCAGCAACTGGGAAGGTTCAGAACCTTGTGGTTTCGGGCTTTATGACTCCTAAGCCAAAATTTTTAATCTTATAGCTAATTTGTCAGTCTTAGAAAGACAGTCTGGTTCCCAGGCAAGAAAGGGGTTTGTTTCAGAAAAGAGCTGTTACCATCTTTGTTTCAAAGTTCAACTGTAAACTAAATTCTTCCAAAAGTTAATCGGCCTATGACCAGTAATGAACAAGGGCAGCTTGGGAGATTAGAAACAAGATGGGGTCAGTTGGATCAGATTTCTTTCACTGTCATAATTTATGGAGTCCCTCCATTTGACTCACAAATCCGTAAAGAGGCAGAAACTTTTTTTGAGACTCCCAATATCATGCTCATCATCTGGGCTGCATCCACCTGATTCTTTCCCAGTTGCATTTCTTCTTTTTTTTTTTTTTTTTTTTTTTTTTTTTTTGAGATGGAGTTTCGCTCTGGTTACCCAGGCTGGAGTGCAATGGCGCAATCTCGGCTTACCACAACCTCCACCTCCTGGGTTCAAGCAATTCTCCCGCCTCAGCCTCCTGAGTAGCTGGGATTACAGGCACGCGCTACCATGCCCAGCTAATTTTTTTATTTTTAGTAGAGACGGGGTTTCACCATGTTGACCAGGATGGTCTCAATCTGTTGACCTCGTGATCCACCCGCCTCAGCCTCCCAAAGTGCTGGGATTACAGGTGTGAGCCACTGCGCCTGGCCTCCCAGTTGCATTTCTAAGGGAAAAGTGAAGCACTGAGGAGCCAGTGTCTGCTTATGCTCAACCCTGTGATCTTGGTTTCCCTGGGCTCTGTTACGCTGTGTTAAATCTCTTTTCATATCAAATATCTACAGATGTTTCTTTTGCTCTGATAGAAACTTTACTGAATCTATTACTTTTAATGGTAAAAACCGCAATTACTTTTGCACCAAGATAATAGTATTTCTTTTTCATCCATTTCACAGGGAGAAATGCTGCATTTCCTCCTCAAGGTTAATAATTCAGTCTCTCAGTCACGCATTCATTTAAACATGTTTCCTGTGTATCTGGTACTATGTATAATCACTGACACTGTTAGTTCCTAAGAATACAAGATGAAGAAGACCTGGTCCATGCCTTCAAAGAGTTACTATCTTATTCAGGAGAGATAAATGGACACATACTTACAATTCACAAGCTAACACAGGGAGCTGCTGGGAAGCAGAGGAAGGTTACCCAATGTAGTCAACGGTTAAGTATTCACGGAGCACTTGATATCGTGACACAGAGAAAAGTCATACCATGAAAACATGTTGAAGAATGCTGAATAGAGATGGAAGCTTGCCAGAGGAATGTGAAGCTGAGTAGAAAAAGAAAGAGAATAGAGGGGAAAGATAATACAACCAGAAGAGAGGGGAGATATTTATCCAGGAAAAAGAAATAAGGAGCGCTATGTGTGCAAAGAACTGTGGGCAGTTCTGTGTTGTTTGACGATAAAATACAAAATAGAAGAGGGAGAGATGATCATGGGAATGACGTGGTGGCCAGAAAATGTGTTGACTTAGCTGCTGTAAAGAAGAGTTTGGGCTTAACCATGAAGGTAATCAGAAATGTAAGGATTTCATCAGAGAAGCTATCAACTAAAAAAACAAATAATGAATTTCTTGAGGATGATAATAATAATAAAGATCTTCATCATTATTAAGATCATCTGTAACACAGTGCCGAAAAACCAAGAATTCTTACAGGCGTCCTGATGACTTCTCATGAAGAAGCAGGGAGACAAGAGGTAAATAGGACTAGCAGGAAAGGGCTGTTTCTTCAGACTCTTTGATAATCCAATAATTTAATTAAAATAGTAATGCTCTACTATTTTCACCTCTAAAACTAGCATAGATAACAATGTTAATCCTTATGAGAGTATGATGAAGTAGATATGCAGTAGTTATTGCAAGCGTATTTGGAAATCAGTTTAACAATATGCTCCAAGAGCTTCAAAGCGCTTATATCTTTGACCCTGTAATTCCACTCCTGTGGATCACTAATGCAGACAATGATTACCACTACCAAGTGGAAAATAAAACAGTAATAACTTATATTGCTGTAAAGAATAAACGAGATAATGCTTGAAAAATGCCTGTAATACTGCCAGGGCACAGATGAGTTCAGGGAGTGCAACGAATCACTCTTTCTTTGTACCTTGATTTTTAAAGTGCTTATGCATTAAATAGTGAGCAAGCCACAGTATGTATTGACTGCCCACTGTGTGCCAGTCTCCATGCCAATTGCTGACCAATAATAGTAAATATGGTAGGCTTTGTTCTTACTCTTATAATATTTATAGTCAATGGCAAAAACATGCTCCAAGTAAATAAATTGTACACATTACATATGTGCGTATGTATACACACACAAATGATTAAGTAAATGAACATGGTGTTATGAGAGAAAAACAGGAGAGATTAAATTTAGAGAGAAAGGTGCAGAGCAGCACTTGTGAAAATAAGGAACTTGTTACAGACTATGTTCGCCCAAATTCATATGTTGAAGCCTTAACCCCCAGTGTCACTGTATTTGGAGATAAAGAGGTAATTAAGGTTAAATCAACGCAGAAAGGTGGAGTTACCCTAATCCAATCGGACTGTTCTCTTTATACAAAGAGGAAGAGACATCAGAACCTCTGTCTCCCAAAGGATGCACACGGTGAAAAGGCCAGCTGAAGTCACAGCAAGGAGGAATAGTCTAGAAACTGAACAGAGAGGCCTCACCAGAAACCAGACCTACTGGCACCTTGATCTTTGACTTTTAGCCTCCAGAACTGTGAGAAAATAAGATTCTGTTGAAGCCATCCAGTTTGTGGTATTTAATTATGGAAGCCCCAGAAAACTAACACAGACCCGAAGGAAGGTAGAAGATGGCTACATGCAGAAGGGCATTTCCAGGGAGAGAGAGCAACAGACACAAGCTGTGGATGCTGAAAGGATCTTGGTGTGTTTGGACAACTGAAAGAAGAACAGTATGCCTGGAGTCTATTATACATATTTCTGAGACATCTTTGGGAAATGACACCACATTGTCATCACTAGCTACAGCAATAAATAGATTTTGGTTCTGAGGACCTGAGCTTCAGTTCAAAGGAGTACAGTGTAATGGAGACAGAGAGAAGAGGCCAATGTTCCACAGAGTATGAGGCACTGGTAACCACTGAGTAAATTCAACCATTTCATATTACAGATGTCAAATCCAAAACTCAGAAACACTAGACATGTTAACAGGGATTAAAACACTAACTAATGTCAGACATGCTTAAGAACCTAAGTCTCTTAAATCCTTTACAAGTGCCTTAGGCAAGCCCATTAAACTAAACCGAATTCCCTGTCTCAAATTGATGTGTTATAATTGAGCTATGGCACCAAACCTGAATTAATAGAAAAATGATGTACATGGGGTTGGAATAATTCTAAGGAAATAGAAACTGAAAACTAAAAGAATTAGCTACAAATTATCTTGAATGTATTTGCCTCTATATTCTTAGCAGTATTGGCCAAGCCCTGTTTGAAGGTTCTGGGACTGCAGGTTTATGGGTCTGTTACATATATCATTTATTTTATTTACATTGTACTATAACCTCCCCAAAAAATCCTGACTTTTGGGCCGGGCGCGGTGGCTCAAGCCTGTAATCCCAGCACTTTGCGAGGCCGAGGCGGGTGGATCATGAGGTCAAGAGATCGAGACCATCCTGGCCAACATGGTGAAA